TGTTTAGCGAGATAATAACACAACTTGTAGTTGGTTTAGATGGTTAAGGCGTTAAGGGGTGTTTCTAGAGGTTGCAAGTTCAAATTTTCTTTCAAACATTTATTTTCTTTTATTTTCACAGCTCTTTTTATATAGCTTTATACAGATTATACCTATTATATTATGGTGTTGTGAAAATTAAACACAAGTAAAGAGCTGAACTTTTAATTTTGAGGTCCCTATTTCGAATCTTGGCCCTTACACGAGTGTATTTTATTTTGTTTATCAGTTTTTCAACTTGTTTCTTAAAATCCTAAAATTGTCCCACATCGGTCATAACATGAAACATAACTCCTATATATCTATTATATAAGCAACACAAGCTTCTTAATTCTCAACAAGTTTAACTTTCGAATGAGTTTTGGAGTTTGAAAAATCGAGAAATCGAACCCATCGGTTTGGGATACCCTTTACTTTGACTCTGTATCCGCCACTGTCTGCAGTGATCTCACAACATTCTCCACACCAAGCGGCATGTCATTAACACACCATTGCGGTGACACCAGGCGCATACTATATAGTGCGGTATAGACATATCGGCTGGTCTTGTATATGCCATTATTAATATGCTAGCTAAAATAAAACAATTAAAATACTTTACTTTTTAATACAATTAATATAAATATTAAACACCAAATAGCTTATAGTACAATAGTATATTGTGTTGATATAGTATTTTCATCTAATTGGTTTGATGATTTATGTCTGTCTAAAATAATAATATAATTTAGAAATAGATTAAAATTTGTATGTATTGTGGTTTAAAAAACACATATACTAAACTACAAAGAAAAAAAAAACTATTAATTAAGAAAAGTAGAATGGACGGTTGAGAACAGAAACAACTAGAAATAAAACAAATAATCAAGTCAATTTAAAAAGAGAAAAAATAAAAAATTTAAAAAGAGAAAAATTTAAACTAAACCAAAAAGGACAGTTGAAAACAGAAACAGCTAGAAATAAAACAAATAATGAAGTCAAATATAAAATGATAAAAATAAATAAATTATCATATGGCTACCCTGGAATCATGGAAGAAAATCTTTATTTTTCAATGATTCACCACCATACCACATGTCTAAGTGACGTTTGACGACCATATGTGATGTCTATCACACCTATTTGATATTTAAAAAAAAATGTTTGACTAAGTTATAACCCCGCTATTTTTTTTATAAGAGTAGACTTATAAATCAAATTATTATTATTATTATTTTTTTTAGTTTTTCTTGGATTCAATTTAACAATTTTTGTCATGAATATGCTACTCTCTATAGTCTAACTGAATTTTTCTATATTTTCTAACTGAATTTTTATGATTATTGTAAAATATGATCATAAGATGGTACATGAATGCTTTTGTTCTTAATGAATATTATAAACTAAAGTTGCAACTATCAACAATCATCACATGAAACTTTTTTCCCTAATACATATGTCTTGAATAGTTTAGAAATGCCTTTTTTTTATAAAAAACAATTAAATATTTTAAAATATTATCTTTGCTGGCCAAGAACTTCTCTTGGTTAAAGAATCGATTTATATAAACTAAAACAATTGACCTTAAAAATTTGTCAAAGCAATCAATTTTTTCATTCCTTATGAAAGCCTAAATTATTACCAGTGTTTTGCGATTAACCTTCCACGTGAATTTTAAAATGGGTTGTCTTGAGCCAATTTATCATTTTTTTTATTTGATTCAGTATTTTTTATATAAAAAAATGTTTGTCTTTAATGTTTACTAAGTTGTTACTACATAAAGTGATGATTTTTGAAAAATTTGATGTATATTTTCATTTTTTCTTAATGTTTCTTGAGTATTTAATCAGATATTTGTCTTATTAATAATGATATAGAATAATATTTTTATATAATTATATGAACTTTTAATCATGGTTGACTCGATATATAACAAGTTAAAACGCTAACTTTTCTATGTCTAATCCATGTTTTTAAGGAATAAAGGAAACGGATTAAATCTTAAAATAAAATAATGAAAAAGATACTCCAACAACATACAATCACCTTAATCATAATTTTAATAAAGCAGAAAACTATTATCATTATTAGGAATCTGTTAGTGGTTTATAAGAATGAAAAACCTTAATCTTAATAATATAATATGCTTAGAGATAACCATATTTTGTTTTTTAAATTGTAAATTACAAATTAATCCCTAAACTATTGCTTAGACTATAGGTTTAGCTCAAAGTTTAACTCCTTATAATTTTGGTCAAAAACTTTTTATTTGTAACGATTTAGTCCTTAAACGTTGTCAATTTTTTTTTATGTTAAATCTCATCATGTATTGTGTACATAACTGCACCTATATTTTAATATGTTCTCTTCATTATTCTTCAACCATTTGTATCTTTATCTTCAGCTTATTTTCATTTTCATAGAAAGTTTCATTAATAAAAGAAACTAAATCAAAACCCAAATTAGAATTACACCTTTAACCCCATAAGATTTAGATATGTAAGGATCCCAAAAAAATAATCTTCTTTGTATTCCTTCCCGCACACACAAGAACCCATGGCAGAAGAAGGTATAGTTTAAGGAAAAACAAAACAAGGAAAAAGTTAAAAAAAAAATCTATCATTTCAAGTTATAGAGATACCAAGAAAATAAATTAGAAACCTATATGAAGAGAAAAGAGAAAGAAAAAAAAAAACCTTTTTAGCTAGAGATTTATTCTGTCTCTAAAAACCATTTTTATAGTAGTGCCAATATTCAAGCATATAACATATAAATCAGATGATATAGACCAAAAAATGACAAATTCTTTCGGACAGACGATACAAGATTCTAACTTAAATTTTTTTTGGATAAGTTATTAATAAACTCATGGTCTTTTAACAAATTTCCAAATATACATTTATACGTTAGTTTTTAGTTATATCTAAATGTCGTTTTATGTAATTACATATTTTCATCTAAATTATTAACTAGTTTTTACTCAACACCCTTATTTTATAAGATATCATCTAATTTATCAAACAAAATCTTACATTTTAGCTAAAAGCTAGCGTGCCACAAAAAGCATGTGACCTATTAACATAATTTCGTTAATTATCCAAATTTCAAAGGCAAAACTACTATTCACAAAGATTACAGGCTACAATCGTAACAAAAAAAGCCAAAGTTAATTTTTGAGGTATATTTTAGTGACTGAAAATTACTCGTTCTTAATATAATGGAAAAGATGGGTAAATTATGATTCGGTTCTTGTAGTTGACATTAATTTGTAATTGTACTTTTATATAAGTTTTAAAAAATAATATGGATGGTCCTCATGATTTGAAAATACATCATGTTTGGTTATTTTGTATGTTACTGTTAAAAGAAGCCCGTTAAACATAGATAAAATGATTATGGTACCCTTCTTTTTCCATTCTATTATTTTATTATTTTGTTTATTAATAATTCTTTTACATTTATATTATTTGTTCATTTTTCAAACGCACCAATTGTTAATTGTTAATTGATAATTGATATTTCTTTTACATTTATATTATTTGTTCATTTTTCAAACGCACCAACTTTTATCATCATGCCTCGCCATTGTCTGTACTCAAAAGCCAGATTATAGAAAATTAGGCCATCTCGCCACTATATAACATTGTTAATGTAGATACGAGAGAGGGGAAATGATAAGCACGGTGAGAACTGAGAACAATGTATGGCAATATGATTTATGTTTAGCGTTAAAACAACTTTCTTCTATCGTCTACTACCATTATATAACATTTATAATGGAGCTAGGAGTTCAATTTGACAATGAAGGAAATCAAACAAATCGAAATTATAAGCTTCCAATCAAGAATAATACTTATGTCTTCGGTTAACGATAACATATAATGGGAGAAATCAAACCCCTAAAGTTAAGTTTTTTCAGTTCGAGTTTTCAACGAACAATAAAAAAAATGGTAAATCATACCATCCGAGCATACCATGTCAATCCATCCCAAGACTCTCGTGTGAGGTCACTCGCATTGCACTAACAATATTTTGGATATGTCATGACTTGAACCTTGAACATCCTGTGTATAATTCCACTTCCCAACCACTAGACTTTCATCACGAATGCATGAGCAACAAAAAAGCAACATATTTTAGTTGTTTTTGTCCAAATATGATATCTTGCAATTATTTTTATTTTTCAGAAACATAATCAAAGCGTGCAGAAAAAATAGACAAATCTAAAAAAATCATAATACTAATATCCCCCAAACTAAACAATGAGGATTTTCCTTTAACTTCAAACAAATTAGGCCTTATTCAACAAACCATTGGTGGGTGACAACGATCTCTTCTAGCGAAAGCAGATGATAGTAGTAATCTTCTAAGGAACGAAATAAATTATGTTTTGACAGAAGACACAAATCAATTTGCCAACGGTGGTAACATCAAAAGAGTATATCAGATCAATTTACCAGAAAAAAAGTGACAATTGCCGGTATGACGAAGACAAAGAAAAATGAAAGAATCATGGGGATGAACCAAACAATGCGAGTGTTTGGTTTAGGGCTTTTATCACATTATTTATGATCATTCACATAACCAACTTATGTAGTCTAGACAATGATCAAATAACATAAAAACCAAAGGAGGGGTATATTTGACTTTTAACCATGACTTAACAGCTAATATTTAACGGAGTTAGATTGAAGGACCAAGAAATTGAAACTATATGGACTATCTCTATCAAGTTTTCAAAATTTAAACTAAAAATGCAGATTAATGCAATAATAGGGACCAACAATGTAATTTAGTCTATAAAAAGATTGAAAAATCTCCAAGAATTAATAAAATATTGAACCTGGGACACATGAAACTGAGGCCGAACGAATTGATCACGCGCTGACAGATAAGAGAGCTCCACGTGTCCACCCTCTGGAACGCTCTTCACGAGATTCTCTTTTCCTCCCCCACTCCCTTCTCTATCTTCGTCCTTGCCACGTCCTTCAATTTTTATCAATCATCACTGTGTATGTATCACAACCAACTACTCATACACATACGCAAACCAATCAAATCCCCAAATCAATCAAAATCATCTTCGTTTTTCGTTCCTCCATGATCCCTGATACGCATATTTCACTTCAACATCCATAGTAATTGGTATTTCGTATTTCGTATTTCGTATTTGCTACCCTTCTGTATCTCTATCTATCTTCTTCTCTCTGTCTTCTCCGATGGCAATACGTCGTCGTCTACCGGTGCTTCTCGTTGCATTTTTGTGCTTTGTTGCCGGTATGAGCGCGAGTGACGGCGACGCTGATCCGATTTACATGTAAGATTTGAGTTTCTTTCACATCTGATTTTCGTTTTTGAAAAGTTAATTCATGAGAACGTGGTCGCAGCTCATAGCTCCAGGTGATCTGTGTAGCTTTTTGTTCTGGAATTTGAGTTGAATTTCATTTGCAATTCGTAAACTTTTTAGTTGAATTGTATCGTAAGTTAAGATTTTTCTACGTTTCAAACCCTAGAAATATGAACTTCCGTCGATCTCAGTTTATCGCAGGTTTTAAGTTTATTGAGGTAATAAGCATCCATTTTCAGGTGAATCTGGTGGAGTTAATTGGTTGTAATTGTTAGGTATTGTGATCGCTGGTAGCAATTAGCAAAGACATGATATGACCACATGGAGATAGTAAACCCTAGACCAAAGAGGCATGCCAGAAGCAGGACAATATCCTCACATGGCATGTTAGACTCTCAATTTGCATGTGCTATTTGTCTGATTCACTTGCCATAGAAATCGACTCTCTGTTAGGTTTTCGATTTTCAATTATGAGAAGATTAGAATCAAATGAATCGGTTAAAGCACTAATTTCATTTCTTACACTTTCTGTTTGAATAGAGATTGTGTTGAGCAATGTGAGAAGACAGGATGTGTGGGGGATGTATGCTTCCAACACTGCAATTTGACATCCAATGGGAAATCTGTGAGTGATCCATGGTACCTACAAGAGCCACTATACATAAAATGGAAAAAATGGGATTGTCTCAGTGGCTGTAGATACCAATGTATGCTTGTTAGGGAAGAAGAAAGAGAGACAGCTGGCAATACACCTGTAAAATATCATGGAAAATGGCCACTCAGACGTGCCTTTGGGATTGAGGTGCCTCAAATTCTTCTACTTTATAGTTTATAATTTTATATCAACTCATTGATTATTATTCATTCTTGATTCTTGAATCTTGATTTTCAGGAACCTGTTTCTGTGGCACTCTCTGCTCTTAATCTTGCTGTTCAGTTTCATGGATGGGTATCCTTCTTCATTCTTGTGAATTACAAGCTCCCTTTAAGGCCAAACAGACAAACTTTCTATGAATACACTGGATTATGGCATATCTATGGGACATTATCAATGAATTTCTTATTTTGGAGTGCTGTTTATCACAGTAGGTAAGTAAATATCCTTTCAAACATTAATTCTCCTCCTCCTCAATTTCATCCCTATCTGAATCTGAGTAAATGACCATTTTACCCTTCTATTTAGAAACACTCCTTTATATCAGTCCAGATTAACTCAAAAACAAACAACGTATAAGTTTTCTCGTTGAAATGACAAATGACGATTTTACCCTTCAGGGATGTGGAAATGACACAGAAGCTAGATTACTCATCTGCAGCAGCAGTTATTGGATTTTCTCTTATAGTATCAATACTAAGAGCTTTCAGTATAAAAAGTGAAGCTACACGTGTCATGGTTGCAGCTCCATTAATTGCCTTTGTAACCACCCACATCCTTTATTTAAACTGCTACCAATTTGACTATGGTAAGAGTTCAATTCATTCCCCTCATAATACAAAAAAAAGAAAAAGACCTTTTTAACCTTTTTTAACTTTTTAAACCTTTTATATATATATATATATATACAGATTTAAATATGAAGGTTTGTGCTATAATGGGAGTAGCACAAGTAGTGATTTGGGGGGTATGGGGTGGAATTTCGAATCATCCATCTAAATGGAAGATTTGGGTTGTGACAATTGGTGAAGGATTAATTGTTTTATTTCAAATTTATGATTTTCCACCCTACAAGGGTTTTTTGGATGCTCATGCTATTTCACACGCCATTGCGATTCCTGTTTCGTATATCTGGTGGAGCTTTATTCATGATGACAGTGAATATAGAACCACAACCCTCATGAAAAAAGCCAAGTGATATTGAGAAGGGTAAATTCGTAAATTTACACTCCACTTGTAACCTCGTGTCGTTTTTTTTCTTGTTCATTAAGGTAGTCAAGGTTATTCGGTTTTTGCTTGCGTGTTGGCAAGTTTTTTTTTTCTTTTTGTATTAAAAGTTGTGTCGTCTTTTTTTTTTAATTTTTTTTTATTTATAAATATTTTTGAAAGCTCCAGGCCGTTGGTTTTTACGGATTTAGATGTTGGTGTCTGTACCGCTTAAATGCGGAGCTTCCTTTTGGCTTGTGTTATGGAGCTTTTGTTTTGTGTTATTTCTGTTTTTTTTTTTTTTTTTTTTTTTAATAAGAATGTGTTTCATGTGTCTAATTGGTTGTAATTATTGTTATTATTTTTTAGTGTTTAAGTGTATTAAATATTATTAACATATAGTTGTGAAACAAATGGGTACAAGATCCAGAGATTGATTGATGTGGTTCAGAAGTAACTGAAGGGGAGAAAGGTGGTAAGTCACGTTTACTTATTTATTTATTTTTTTTTAAGTTTTTCATATTAATTCATTATTTTTTATTGGGATTGTATTTTTGGGTCGATTATTAAAAAATGTGATTGGGACTGTTTCTGTTTAATTTTTAACATGGTCAAGTAGCCGCGTTTATTCGAGCATCCATAAGAGTTTTTCTAAGGAAAAGCTCTTGAAAAATGTATTGTGGAAACTTTTTTAATTCAAAGCTCTTTTAGTCCATGGATTTTTAACCAATTAAACCTATACATGTAAGTATTAAAAAGCAAAATGGAAAAGCTCTTCTATTATGAGAGATACACTAGCTTTTTGTATATTGAGCTTTCATCTCCGTGGATGCTCTTAGAACACCCATAATATGAGGTTTTTAAAAGTTTTTTCATTTTAAAAAAAATGGTTAATCTATAAAAAAGATCTTATATTTTATATATATTTTTTCGGATTGAACTTTAAATTTATTTTTTGTCTGAAAAAGACTTTGTATTTTTTCATTTTTTCCGAAAAAGCCTTCAATTTTGTATAGACCCTTAACCTTCTAAATGCTTCCGAATAAACCCTTAACTTTTTTAGTTTTCTCGAAAAAAACCCTCAAGTTTTACAATTTTTTTTGGCAAAAAATGACTAAAAGGGCTAAATCGGAAAAATGAAAAAAATACAAGATCTTTTTCAGACAAAAAATAAATTTGAGGTTTAATCCGAAAAAAAACACAAAATAGTGGGTTCCATATAATTCAAGTAATTATTCTATAGAGTTTTTTCAATCAAAATGGTGGGTCCCATATAATTCAACTAATTATAAATGATTAACTTATATAAAAAAACATTAGAATAACATAAATATATTTGATGAGTATTATGATAGAGCTCTCATATTGTTAGTATTACTTAAGGTTTTTGGATTTGTGATAAATTTTCTCCGGATAAATCTTTTAGGCGGCGTTTGGTTCACAGAATGTTTTTGAAGGAATTGGAATCTGTTGAGGAATTGGAATCTATCTTGAATTGGAATTCCATTCAATATTCTGTTTGGTTAGCAGTAAATAGAATTTGAATCTAATTTTATATTTTGTTTGGTTGGCGGAAAATGAAATTTGAATAGTGTAAAATGACAGAACTACCCTTCTCGGTTTTTTCTTACTTTTACTTTATGTTATAATTATATGTAAAGATATATTATATAAATTATAAAAATAGTAAACGATGGTGGCGGCGGCCGTGATGGTGGCAGAAGCGACAGTGGTGGTGATGGCGGCAGTGTGTGGTGGTGACGAAGGTGGAAGTGGTGGTAGTAGTGGCATCACTAATGTTGATGGTAGATTTAGTAATGGTTGTGGCGGTGGGTGTTAGTGGCGGCGGTGGTGGAGGTGGATGTCGGTGGTGGCGGCGATGCTGGTGGTGGTGGTGGCAATAGAGGTGGTGGTGGTGATGATAGAGTTTGTAGTAACAACGGTAGTGGTAGGGTGGTGGTGTAGGTGGTAACGGAGGTTATAGGTGGTGGTGGTAGTGGTGGTGGTGGTGACGGTGGTGGTGGTAGTGGTGTCGGCGATGGTGATGGTGGCGGTGGTGGTGGTGGTAATGGAAGCGGTGGTAGTGGTGGGTGGTGGTGGAAGTGGCGACAACATCAGTGGTGATGGTTAGTGGTGGTGGTGGTGGGTGGCAGAGGTGGTGGTGGTGGGTGGTAGCGGAGGTGGTGGGTAGTGGTGGCGAAGGTTGTGGTGGAGGTGGTTGCGAGTAGTGACGGAGGTTTTTCATATTTAATGTTAAAAATGAAAAGGGTAATATGGTAATCTTCAACATTCGCACTTGAAGGAATTTGAATTTCCTCGTCTTTTAGATGAAATTTATTTTCCTTCAATGGAAGGAAAGTTGGACACATTTAGGAATCCAATTCCTTCTCAAAACTTGAACCAAACATAGGAAAGTGATGAAATTAAATTCCAATTCCAACAGATTCCAGCAAACCAAACGACCCCTTAGTTTGTTGGTTACCACATGTGAATGGAAATTTTATGTGTTGAACTTTTTGTTCAGAAATACTCTTATTTTTCTGGTTTTAAAGATTATTTTTTAATCAACAAAACTGATAGTACTTGAAAAAAAAAAAAAAACAATGCCGTTTGTTAAAAAAAGTGAAAACAAAATAGTTTGTAGATGCTGTTGAAGCTCGACTGTCTCCTCTTATCTGCATTGATTCCATGTTTAAATTCCGAATTGTTTATTTTCTTAATGTTTTCTCTTCTTTTATTTTTGTTAAAAGTCATATTTTTATTTTCAGGTCACATTACATATTGTTTTTCTCCATGCCAAAGGCACATATAGAATTAAATAATCTAGAAATGTATGAACTTAAAATTTGGAAGACCAAAATTGTCAAATAAAAGTTCATTAACATTTTGATATGAAGAAATAATATATCATTTTATATTTTTTATTTACTTCAAATTTGATGTTATATTATTTTTTATATAAAACTGGTGTAAAAAGAGTGTTAGATTAAAACAAAATGGTACGAGAAATAATGCATAAAATAAGATCTATCTGATTATATAAGTTGAGTATTGGTCATCATTATAAAATATCATTTGGTTAGATTGAGTGTTTTGTAAGTGTTTCTTTTTTATTTTGACTTAAAGGGTATTTTAGGTTTTGTGTTTTCTACTTTAATGTTTTTGGATAAATGATATTTACAAAATGTTTGAGAGAAAAAAAAAGAAAAAGAAAATTCCCACACGTTGGTAAAAGTTACTACGGATCGTTTTCTTTCTTCTTTTAAAGTAAGTTTTTCTCTTGTTTTGTATAAAAGAAAATCTTTCTGTTTTTAAAAGATTATAGGACTTTCCTTTTTCCTTTTTCCTTCATGTTATTTTCTGAAACAGTAACATTCAACAAATTAAAATTTCTAACAAACATTTCAAAATTTTGTATTTGGAAATTATATAATTTAGGTGGAAGATACTTTCTTAAAAACATGTTGAACAACATATACTTTAATTGTATACTACAAATCATACCCTCTACCAAAGAGCTTATAATCTAACTGTAATAGATGTTTTTTTCTTTTTTTTTTTCTTCTTAAGATGGATGGTTCAAGTCAAAGGAATTAAACTGGCGTTCCAAAAAAAATAATCATACTGTTGGGAAATAATAAGTGCTATTATTTTGATCCGTATAATATTTTAAAATATAAATTGCTTTGTACCTATTATTTTATTTTAACAACACATTGTTATCAACTATAATTTTTTAATTAACAACAAACACTCAAAATTGAAACATATGATTTCCAATATGACATTTTTTTAAGGAACCATACATTGAAATATATTTATAATCATCACATTATTTCACTCTTTGTATATGTTTCTAATATCCGTACATATTTCTAAAAAAACACAATATAAGCACGGAGTATTTCTAAATCCATCCTTTTTTCATACTTGAAGCTCTTCAACACACACACACAAACAAAAAGAGAAATTTAAGTCAGTAACTCCACAACGACATGTCACCGCCATACTCCGCTTCATCACCACCGGCGTACGACGGCGGAGGCGGCAGCATCATTCCCTCCGCCATATTCACAAGCAACCCAGGCATTCCAAACTCCTCCTCTTCATCTATATATCCGACATTTCCTCCATAACCTACCTCCACCCCCACTCCCTCCGCCGACTGATCACCATTCCCATCCTCACTCTGCCGGAATCCCTCCGCCGCCTCCACCGCCGCCTTCCTAATATCATTTGGATCCACTGACGCCGGAGTCGGAAGCCTCCAAGCAGAATCCGCAAAGTTCAAACAAGCCGACCTCCCTCTCAACGCCAACGCCGCCACATCATGAGCTCTGGCAGCCATCTCCGCCGTCGGAAAAGTCCCCAACCATATCCTCGACTGCTTATACGGCTCTCTCACCTCACAAACCCACTTCCCGGAGCTCCGCTGCCTCACTCCCCTGTACACCGGGTGCCTCGTCTCCTGAACCTTCTTCCTTCCGGCACGCTTCTTGGGATGACTAGACGCCAGCATCACCTCCTCCGACGTCCCCGACGACTCCCCTCCTCCTACCATCTCCGGTGGACTCGACCCATATCCATATCCACATCCATATCCATATCCATTTCCATACCCATATCCATCATAGTTATACCCGTTAACGTTGTTATAACTGTTCATCTCCATGGAATCTTTGAATCTTTAAAGTAGAAATTAAACTGAAACTGTTTCTGTGAGTGAATCTTGATTCGAAGTGTCATCTGTTTATATAAATTTGTGTTGGATCATGAATGCGAATCGAACACGGAGAAGGTGTTGTAAGATTGGGGAGTAGGACACTGAAAAAGGAAAGAGGCGAGGAAGTGAAACAAAAGTGGATTATGTCTTTTGGTACAGCTGTTAATGAAGTGGGTCCCATATTGTCTTCTGGGTATAACACGTGTGAGACTTGTGTTGTACTGAAGACTACTTTTTAAGTGTCTTTTTCAGGAAAGGGGCAAACTATATTCGGACCATTGGATCTAAATTTTTTTTAATACATTTATGGAAATAAAGTAACTACATTATTCTTTTTTCTAGAACTTAATATTTTATTGGATAATTAGCAGTTTTGTTGAGGTATGTGCATAAAGAATCATTCAAATACAAAAAAACATCACTTTTGGGGATGTTACTTATATTAGGTTATGTGGAAGTTATGAAAGAGATGTTACCTTTCATTTAAAATGTTTTAAGTTAAAATAAAATAAATATTTTATATGTTTATGATATAAATAATATCAAATTGTGATCATAGGAGGGAATGGTAAGTGAAACAAGTAATTTCTTTTGTGTTATTTCTGTCCAATTCTTTGGGTAATTATAAGATTGTGGGGAGTGATATGTGGTTTGGCCGCACTCAATGCTACATAGACAGGGGAACACTGCCCCCTATGCGCTCTTGGGTGCGGTTTGGCCGCAACTCTCCGAATTTCTGCCGCATCTTTCTCATCTCTTTCATCTTCCATTCTCTCTTAATTGTTTCTCCCTCTCACCTCTCTCTCTACCAAGGTTCCCACACTCTAGGTGTGGTAAATAACCACACAAAGTGTGATATAATTGACATGACGTCTACGTGGCAGAGGAGAGAGTGCGGTTCTTCTGGCACCACTCCCTTCAGCCTAATGACATTACCCCATTCCATGAGTATACTAGTACTACCACTCCACTTCCTGTAATCCTTTGGTTTTACAGTTCACCACTTTATTGTCTATTTTTCCACATTCAAAACATTGATTGTTCTTTCGACATTCCCTGATTGGAAGTTGCCACAAATACTTCATCTTTTTTATGTATCGTTTTCTCCTCGTTTGAAGAATGGTAACTCTTCTTATTACATATGGTGGATTGTTCATATCTACTTTTGTCTCCTTGCTCTTGGCTCTCTTTTGAACGTTTCTTGATCATATATTTTTCATATTCGTGTTATGATGAGTGTAGTGACACATTTGACTTCAACCGAATTCTTGGTGGGAGCTCGCTTCAGTAACAAATAATCATCGCCCATTTAATGGTCAGTGTAGTGTATCTTCTAAGAAGGGAATCATATTCATGAACTTTTTTGGTAGATTTGTCTAGAAATATTTTCCTTGCGAACATAAAAAAGAAATTATCCATAATATTCTCAAAATCAAGATTAACACAAAAATTCACATTTAATCTTCCACAATTTCATCCAATTTCGATGCGATATTGTAACCTTTGTGAAAGTGTTATACACAACGTTCCATCATACAAGTGTTTTTCCCTTTAGTAATAATATTTTGCTCTTCTTTATACTTACTATCTTGAAGCACTTGATCCTTTTTAGTTACCTGATGCATGGTGATATTGGGATCAAAATTCCCTTCATACTCTTTTATACTTGATGTCAAGAATGTTTTTAAAAACACACCCCATATTGGATATTGGATATTGGGGTTGAAGGACAATCCATAGATTGATTTCATGGTTGTTTGATACTTTTGGTAGATTTGCTCCTTGTAGGACCTTCTCATAGACTTTGAGAAGTATAACCTAATCGTTCATCCAAAATATGATGCATTTCTTCTTTGTTTCTCTCTTGCAATTCATCTAGAAGCTTTTCATTGCTTTTATGGTTAACACTTGCTAATTCTCATCAACATTGAAATTTCCTTCATTGCTAATTAAAGGAGACGGACTCCCAATTGTAGGTGATAAGCTTGAATTTACCCACCAATAAGTACAACATGAACCATTTTATAAAATTCTCAACTTTATAAATCCTATAATCTCAATTTATAATATGGAATCTTGTACTCAAAGCAATGTGACATGTCTTAGCATGACAATTTCTATACATGAATTCCTAAATCAGTTCATAAAACACATAAGACATAGTTGTCACTAATAATGGTCATAAAGTTGTCATTCCTTTCCTATTTCCTCGTTACATAATTTGCTTAAACTATAGACTGATAACACCTAAAAATTTACCATGAAGATTTAGCAAAATTAAGAACACATTATTTTCAATAAGGAAAATATCATAAAATGACAACCGATAACACCATTTTTCAATAGCTACTAAACTTTTAATTGTATCAAACTGACCAACAAACTATTATTTTTGGTTTTTTTTTATGCAAATGATTACATTTTTAACTAGGAGTAACAGGTTTCCCACCCACATGTGTTAGAATTTAGGAAATTGGAATAACAATAAACACTTAGATATGTTGGAGATTATTAGCATCGAGTACACATTACATATGTAGCAGAAAAAAATCAAAACATGATATAACTAAGTGCACATGCAACCTAGAATCTATGTTTCACTATTATAGCATCCTACTTTAAAAAACTTCATAGAAAGAATTACTAACCTCTTGTTCATTTCCTTGGGATCTCGTACATGCCAAGTTAGTTGCGGGATGAAGGATCCAAAGGAGAATCCCTCTAATGGAATCAGACCCACACACCAAATAGCAAAAATGAAGAGCTTAAGGAAATGAACAAGAGGTTAGTAATTCTCAATTGCAATGCCTAAAAACACTTTGGTCAATTAGCTAATGCTCATGAATGTCTTTAATACCAACATTTACTCTTGAGAATTCGATCGATTGTGGACTTTTGAACATAATTAAATATTTTAGAAGTTGGTTCAAAAACATGCAAAAATGAAACACATTATTTGAATTAAAAAGATTTTGATAGAAAACTAAAACTCTTTATTAAGACTCTTCGAAATAAAAATAAAAAACTGTTACCATTCATAATCGAAAACATTTCATGATAATTCTAACTAACAACTAAAGTACTACATCAAATGACTATCTAGTCTCATGCCAATGGTCCTAGCATGACCATCATGTTTTTCTCTTGATAGTGGCTTTGTGAATGGATAAGTAAGATTCTACTAAGATGATACCCGACTCACGACAATGTCACCATCTTCTACACGATGTCGAACATATTGATACTTCCTTTGAATGTGTCTTGAATTGCCATGGTCCTTAGGTTCTTTAGTCAAGGTGGCTGGACCCTCGTTATCACAAAAGATTTCTAGTGGTTCTTTGATGCTTGGTACTACTCCAATATCACCAATGAAGTTCTTTAACCATATACCCTTCTTTGCAACTTCACTTGCCGCCATATACTCAGACTCACATGTCGAATATGATATTGTCTTCTGTTTGGAACTTTCCCATGTAACAACTCCTTCATTAAGCAAGAACACCCACCTCGATTGTGAGCAAGAGTTGTCTCTACCATTTTGGAAACTTGCGTCAGTGTAACTCGTAACTCTCAATTCTTCTTTTCCACCATATACAAATAACATATCCTTAGTTCTTTTCATATACCTAAAAATATTCTTTATGGTCGGCCAATGACTATCACCAGGATTCTCTTGATATCAAATCACCATGCTAAGCACATATGAGATATAAGGTCTTGTACATGTCATGGCATACATGATCGATTGTATAACAGAAACATATGAGAGTCAACCCATTTCCAATTCTTGTCAAGTTTTAGGTAATTGATATTTACTTAATCTTATTCCATGTTGCATAGGTAGACACACTTTCTTAAAATCTTGCATTTTGAACCTTTTCAAAATCTTATCTAAGTATGTACTTTTTCTTAGTCCGATTAAACGTTTAGATCTATCTCTATAGATCCTAATGGCTAATATGTAAGCTGCCTCTCCTAGATCCTTCATTGCAAAACATTTTCCAAGCTAAGTTTTGACACTCTACAAGGGTGGGATATTGTTTCCTATAAGGATTATGTCATCAACATACAACACTAGGAAAGCCACATTACTCCTACTGGCTTTTTCATATACGCAAGACTCATCCTCACTTCTATAAAATCCAAACTCTTTGACCTTTTCATGAAATCAAAGATTCAAACTATGTGATGCTTGTTTGAGTCCATAAATGGACCTCTCAAGATTGCACACTCTATTAGGATATTTTAGATCAATGAAGCCCTCATGTTGTGCCATATAGACATCCTTTGCCAATTTCCCATTATGGAAAACAATCTTCACATCCATTTTCCATATTTCATAATCATAGAAAGCAGCTATGGCAAGCAATATTCTAATAGATTTAAACTTGGATACCGATGAGAAGGTTTCTTCATAATCAATTCCTTGAGTTTGAGCATAACCCTTCATAACCTGCCTAGATTTATAAGTGTGCATATTCCCATCCATGTTAGTCTTCTTCTTTAAGATCCACTTGCATCCAATAGTTTTGATGCTAGGTGTATGATCAAGCAAATTCTAGACTTTTTTTTATCATAGATTGAATTTCACTTTCCATGCTCTCCTTCCATTCAGCAGCTTCGGTACTTGCCATCGCTTCATTGTAGCTACATGGTTCATCCATACCTACTCGTGTGCGATCACCGATCATTACTTCTCCTTTAGTTTCAATATAGAAACCATAAAACTCAGGAGGGATTCAAACCCTATAAGATCTATGAAGTGGAGGATTTGGAATTATGTCATTTTGCTCAACTGGTTGATCAACCTCCGGTTGAGTGCCAATTTCAACTATTGGTCCTTCTTCATTTGAATCTTGAATTTCTTCAAGATCAATTGGGCTCTCACTAGCTTCTTTGGCCATGAGATCCCTCTTGAGGAAGAATCACCTTTGATTAACAAACACTTT